TACGATTTTGAGCTTGTTTCCAATGAGGTGGTGTCATACTTCTGGAACGACTTCGAGAAGGAGTATGATATCGCTGGAAATTTATTTAAATATGCATCCGTAATTAAAGTTAGTAGCAAATGGACAATATCAAAAGACAAATCGGTTGAATTAATCTGATACTATATTCTCATCTGTTCATTGATTTGATATTTCTAAAGACTCGTGAGTAATCACCATAGCCAATATTAAATCGTGACGTTAGGAGCGAGAAATAAAATATATGAGAAAAAAAATGTATTATGTGATATTTATAGACAAATTAGATGATGAGATCGCTTTAAAACAATTATAAAAATGAACGAAAGCTATCTTTATCCCCCTTGACAGTTAGTAATTATAAAAAGTGATAAAAAGCACGTGAAACATTTATTCAATGCGCATGCCTAGCCTATTTACACATGCGTTTTATCATGATTATTTACTGATTGTCAAAGGAACATTATAAGCATAATTTTCGTCCATTTTTACAAATGTTTTAAAGCGATCTCATAATTTTATTTTATTCAAATTGTCTTTATTTACAAATGGCATGTAACAAAAGGTAACGTGTCATTTCTCGCTTTTGACATCGCGATTCAATATGGTTGTGGTGATTAGGGACCTCAATAACATGGCAGTTGATATTAATCACTTACGAATATTCCTCTACCCTTGAAAACACGACCAGTCTTTCTATGAGATCGTGCACGATCTCTTCCATAGTGCTGTCTAAATTCTTTCTGATTTGCATTATTAGTAGATCCTGCTCTATACAAAAATTTATTTGCTGGTACTTCTGGAATTTCATCAGGATCAATTTTGGTTACGGATACTAGCGGATGAGGTTTCCCATCGTCTTCCTCGTTAGAATCCTGAATTTCACCATCTTCCGACTTTGCTCTTTTTTTACTGAAACAGGATTATGTGTGGTTACATATATTGAATATCCAGAACTCGTAACTTCTTGTTTAACTTTATATACCTTTTCTTGATCTTCTTTTTCTTCTTCGTCTTATCAGCGTAAGAATCAGACTCTGAATCCGCCAAACTACTTTGCTTCGCTTCTCGTTTTTTTGCTGCAAACATATACATATTACGACATAGTAATGTATTTGACTTTCTATATTTGTATTTGAAAAATGGAAAGCGACTAAACCTTTGCTTTTGATCTTCAAAATTAATTCGCCACAGTTCACAACCTTAGCATCTTGCAATGGACGTGACATTCGGTCTACTGGAAGTCCTTCAATATGCGTAATGATCTCTTGCCCAGACACTACTTCTCCAAAAACCACATGGACACTGAAAACAGAAAAACATGTTCGTATAGACAAACAGGCTTTTGAATAAAATAGGCATGAATTATTTTTAATGCTCAGTGAAATATCTCAGGATCAACATGTATTAACGTATACTCACTTGTCGAGGTGAGGCGCTGGTTGTGTTGTACTACAACAACAAAATATGATTAAGGGGATGAGAGATGAACAGAAAGAGCCAGAGCTTTCATTGGTCATTGTGTTGTAGTAGTGGTGTGCAGACCCCCTCACGACTACGCAAAAATATCGCTAAGTTATTCATTCCTCCAGAATGATTCTTACTCCTATGTTTTTTTCAACATTTGCCGTGAGTTCGCTGCATAAATATTATGGGAGTAATACTACTGTACAGTCGTGTAAAAATAAAAATTGCTTTTACCACACAATTAAATCCGTCGATCATGTTTGTTTCGAATATAATTAGAAATTAGCTTCATAATTGCTCGAATTTTCCACATTTATATTTAAATAGAAAATTTTTATTAGAAATGTGATTAAATATAAGTAGTATATTAACTTTATTTACCATGATTAAATGCCCAGTTATTAATAGAGAAGGACACATACATACACGCACGCACGCATGCACATCATACACACAAATTCAGAAAATTATTCTCCAAAAAGAAATCTACCGACACAAGGAAAACACATAATAATCGTGTTGTAATGTTTTGCTTGCTAGAGATACCTGGAAGATTTTGCTACATATATAAGTAACCACATAATGTATATAATATAGTTGCCTTTGTATATAATATACAATGCCTTTGTAATATATCATTAAACTTACAAATTGTAAAATTTATACATACATGCATTTATTAATGTCATAGAGAACAATAGCTTTACATACTATTTTAATGTACTCACATGAAAAATTGTGAACCATTGGTATCTCTACCACGATTCGCCATTGACAACAAGAATGGCTTGTTATGTTTCATAATAAAGTTTTCATCTATAAAAAAAGAATTGATGATTGTTAGGATGATAGATTTTCACAGTCATATCTTTTTTTCTTTAAATTAATATATTAAATTAAGCTTTTGTCAAACTCTCTCTCTTCTCTTCTCTAAAATCTTATATTATATATTTACCTACAAATGTACCACCATAAATTGACTCGCCACCTGTTCCATTGCCTATCGAGAAATCTCCACCTTGAATCATAAAATCCTTTACCACCCTATGAAAAACAATGCCTTTGTAATGCAACTGTTTGCTTGTTGTTTTCCCAAGTCCCTTTTCTCCAGTACATAATGCGCGAAAATTCTCGCATGTTATGGGACAAGTGTCTGAAAATAACTCAAAGACTATTCTGCCCATAGGCAATCCACCGACCTCAACATCAAAGAATACTCTCGTGTTAATGTTAACCATGGCGTGAGAAATTCCTGAATTATCTGTAAGTGTCAAGAAATGAGCAATAAGTATAGAATTACATTACAAAATTGTGCATTAGAGATCATGGTTTTGAATGTGCATTGGAATACAATATATGTATACACACATGTATTTAGATTCATGAGAAAAGAAAAATCTGTAATATGTATAAAAAATAAGAATAATTAAAAAAATAAAGAATGTAAATCAATATAATAATTTAAAGACTCCTTTAATTGATAATTAACAAATATAATAATAATATAAAAACTGGACAATAATAGTCAACTCCTATTGCCCACTTCTTATATTTTATATAGATAAGAACAAATTACATAAGATCCTATGACACGTCATCATGATTACATCTTGATGAGTATACTTTGCACTCTCAGACTTTTGCTCCTTTTTTATTACTTTTATTTCAAAGTATTATTGGCTGTGGTCAGTAGACTCAACAGTTGAGTGAACGCTTCCTGCTATTGATGTACTCTTCTAAATTTAAAATTCTGTTTGGATAATCTAAAAGAATACATCAATAACAGCAAATGCTCACTCAACTGTTGAATCCACTGAATGTACCCAATATCAAACTCAGAAATCGCAAAACAATACAAATAAAAGAGAGATCAAACATGAGCAAATAATTGCTCAATTAACCTTTCTTTTTTTTCGTTACTTCCATTTCATGTCACTAGCTATTTCCATTTTACATTTTGAACATTTTTTTCATACAGATACCAACAGCTTTTCTGATATCTTACTTTTTGCTGTAAATATGCCTTTTATGTTTAATGCATTCATTTTTCATTATCAACGCTGAATGATTTGTTTTCATTAAGTTTAATGAATTTAATATATTATTTTGTATTACTATTTTTCAAATATCTGAATATAAATTCTTTCAAATCTTTATTGGACCATGAGAATTTTAAATGAGAAACTATAACGGGATACACTACAATGGATTAGCACACATTGAAAAGACTGCTTTATATGAAGTGTTTAAATGCAATAGATAATATTATCAACTTCGAAAATGAAATAATATTATATTCTATTAAATAATGACAATATCATTATTGCATACTTAATCATATAAGATATTTATATGTTTTTATATTTAAATTTGCTAATTTTACATTAAAAAAACAGATTTTTTAATTAGCCATAATAAGTCCTGAATTTAGTACAAAGTAATACTTATGGTATATCAACATAAATTCAATCAAGATTACAATCTTTGAAACAAGATTATAATAAACCTATTTGCTTTAACTAAACTTGCACAGTTCATCTTTTTTCTTTTTTTCAGCATGGAAAGAAAAAAAAAAGGGAAATGAACTGTGCAAAAAGTTCAGTTAAAAAGAGTAAGCCTAATATTTTTGCTATGTATGAGCATATTGAAGTTGGATTAAGCTTCTCTCTCTCTCTCTCTCTCTCCCTCTCTCTCTGTTACACATACATATTATAGCTACTTTCAGCATAAATTAATCTAAGTAGCCAATTCGCTAATAATTTATTATAAATTTATAATTAATTCACAAAGATCCAATCTGGAATGACTCCGCGATTTCATATGTCATGAATGGCGTAATGCTCTTCGTAAGAGCCGTTTCAAATAAAAACGCGACAATGAAAGGAAGTGAGAAGAGACCATAATAATTATCGATCACACGTGCACGTTCGAGAAAATCTTGAAAAAGTTGGATGAAAAGAAGGTTTGTAGGAATCTCGCGAGTATAGCAAGCATACCTCCAGAATATTTAAGATTGGTTGAACCGCCCTCGACACAAGATTCAATCAAATCTGCGGAATGTAGTCAGTGTCGTTAGTTATCCTGACATTCAATATCCGCGTTCAATTCTCAACAACAGAATCCGAGCTGTATTCCAACCCCAGACTCGCTGCTCAAAGAGATTCGTTGAGACTTTCGATAAAGAAACGATATTAATGTACTAACAAGTATTAACTATTTAACTGCGTTAATAGATTATAAAGATACGTTTTTGAAGGTTCTTGGATCTCCCCAGTGATGCCAACACACAACACATTAAGCTGGAAACACAATAGGCACAGGCAACAGGGAATAATGAGCCTTCCAATCAGAGCTCTGAGATATAAGTGCGATATTATATCCCAGAGCTCTGATTGGACGGATTATTATTCCACTACATATGTAACATGAATATGATTGGTTTATACATTTTGGTCCAATGGGGAACTAGCAAGACCAATCATAGCAATAATTTTACAATAGTTGCAAAGCTGCTTTTTCTGCTGAACGCAACCAATTACATTGCACCCCATAGGCACCCATAGTTTGTATACCAATTGAAGTCCAAACCCATCGAATTTTTACATAAGCAATTTAGGCCCTGTGAAAACACTAATATTCAATATGAATCGTTTTATGACAATTCTCAAGAGTAAGGAAACTCGCAATTATTTTATGAGGCAAGTGATGGTTATGTCATTTAAAGGTGCGTTCCACTTGAAGTCCGTAACACTCGTGAGCATCATTTGTCCTTGTTTAACATTCAATAAACAAAAAGAATGATTCGTAGATTAATAATTTTCATTCAACTCTAATTCAAGTTACTCAGCTGACAATTTAGGGATAGATCATCGTGGACGATAGTTGATATAATTTCAGCATTGTTCATCCTTTAGACTTTACAGGAGCGATGTGATACCGGCATCATAACCAAGTGTCTTTGTAAGGCCTTACAAATATCTAATAGGTAAGCGTATAGAAATATTTTAAAGGAAATGATACGAACGTATTGGCGAGCTTATTAAAATTATATGGGCATAAGAGAAACCTTAAAGCAGATAAGTCTAATTTAAATTATAAATTCACATTATTAAGGTCCTGGTAAAAATGATATTTTTAGATTACTTATTATGTATTAAACAGTAAGTTAAATCGATTATTTTATTCTCAATGATTCTGTGAATGGAAATGATTAGTTACTTGTAACGTTATTACTTACCTTATCATTACTCTGTTATAATAATGATTTGACAATGACAAATTTTTTATGACCATGATGGTCATCACAGTTGGAAAGTGATTCAGTTGATATTTTTTATGAGTTGGAAAAGACTTGTTATTGAAAAAATAACTCGACATTTGTAAGTCGTTGCTTTTTAGTTGTTTCTTGAAAAGAGAGTAACATTACTTGTAAATTCCTTTTTTCATTAAGTAAACCCGAAATATGTGTGATGCAAGTTACTTTTCAAACTTTCCTAAAAGTACTTTCCTAACTTTCTCATACTCCACTAATTATGAAAAATTTTCATAAATGTTTCAACCTTTTACATTTTATGTATAACAATTCTGAAAGGATTCTGTAATACTTCACATAAAATGTTGCAACAAAGAATTCTGCAATATGTCACATAAAATGTTTCAAAAATCTATCACATGCACTAAATTGAAAAACATCCAAACAGAATTAACAAAAAATCATGACATTAAAATGACTCCAAAATGTTTACTAAAAGTCATTTTTTGATCAATCAATTCAGTTTAATATTATTTTGATGCTATTGTAACTTGCGTTTTACTTAATTGCAAAAAACTTTTATATATGAATCATTTGTTCAGCTGTAATTGCGAAAAACTTATATATAAATAACAATATTGTGTAGAAATACAGGTGTGATTTTTTAATACTGATTATATATATATATATGTTTATACATATAATGTAATTAATCAAAATAGTTGGCGGTATAATTACAATTTTTGAGAAATACTTTGAGTTTATTTCAATAAGTTTCGTAATCTGTGTAAACAGATCACACTTTTTTTTTTTAATAAATTTTAAATATTTTAAAAAGATTACAGATTTTTTCTGTAATGTTTCAATAATCTTTCAACAAGATTTTTTTGTACAAAAATCGCAGACATTTTGCTACTCCAGAGTTGTCTAAAAAATGTTGCAGACAACTTTTATAAGAGAAATGTTTCACTTTTCAATTAAAATATTTCTGAGACAATTCTGAAAACTTGGTGCTGTATATAAGTTAACACAATTTCTATGTTTAGTTAATTATCATTACAGTCATAAAATAAAATTACATCATTATCAAATTGTAACTATAAAAGTAACGGAATAGTAACTGTTTCATTCTTTGTTATTTTAATATTTAATATAATAAAGATTTTTTCTGTATATTTATTGTGAGTTTTATTATAAATTGCTTAGAATCTACGAATGGAATATATAGAAGATATAATTAGTAAGCTATATAGAACTATAACTATAATTAGTAAATTATATAATGTCTCCTTGTATAACTTGAATGCGAATTATGAAATTCATATACATTTTTTTAAGTTTTAAGATAGAGCAGCATATGAAAACCGAGTGAACATCAAGTCGGGCGCACTTTGAATTATCACTACTTATGCAGGTCACGATGGTGCATGTGCGTATCGAGATATTACGTGATAAACGATAATATTTTTTTAGCACGCATTTTTGGGGACCCGTTGCTAATTGGGCGATACCAATTGCTGCCATCTCCGATATCCAGAGAGATCCTAAGTACATTAGTGGTAAAATGACCTTTGGTTAGTTCAATTATCTTTTCTATATGCATTGCATCTTGTTCACGAGTTTTAAGGTATTTGAAAAATTCGGGTCAACAATTTTTATTTATTAAGTTCTAGTAAGCGTACAGTTAAACTGTTTTCTATTGAATGTAAAATATATATTTTCTATTAATTTGCAACATTTGTGATACTTATTTTGTATTTATGTTAGCTACAAGATTTATAATAATTTAAGTAAAATTTAATAAAATTTTAGAATGAAAACTATACTTAGCAATATCTTAGTGTTCTTATTGTACAGGGTGTTTGGAATTTAAATATTAAAACTTCGGGAGCGTGTAGAGGATCGATAAACCAAGAAAAAAAGTCTCTCTCTTTCTCTCTCTCTGTAAAAATATGCTCGTTTTTGCTTCATTTTGAAGAAAAAAAAAATAAAACATAGTTTTCGATTTTATACTTTTTTATTACTCATTCATGTTGTATTTATTTACTTGCTTAATGTAGATATTGTTTAAAATGTTGGCATTTAAATTCCGGACACACCCTGTATGACAATATCTATTTCGAGAATAAGACTTCAAAGAAATAAATTACAATAAGTAAAAAAATATGCAGACTAATATAAACCGACACTGGATAGAATATTGCTTGTTTCGTCTCTTAGTTTGTCTCGTATTCAACTATAAAAAAAAAAGATAAATGTTTACTATACGAATCTTTATAACTTATTTTATATTATTTTAGGATTTATGAAAATAATATGAAAATAGCTTTCGAAATTTCGTAATTGTTTCTTATTTACTCGTATCAATTTTCAAGACTTTATGCTGATTTTTTTTCAGCCTTATGCTTATATTCAGCAATGTTCATGAGATTTGCAATCAAGGTGCAACCACGCAACATGCTTTTATTTGCCTGCCACTTTGTCAATGAAGGTGCACAAATTACGCAAGGTTGTAGATTTATTAAGCATCATTATCTTAGTAAGAAAGAGCAGTAAGTCGAAATATATAATATACATGATATTGATTTTAAAACAATAGGGCTTTACATTAATATATACAAAGATCATGTTATGTATAGATATTTGTTAAACATATAAATACATAAACAACAATTGTCTCTTAATGACTAATGTGTTATCAATTTTTCTCCACTAATTTTTAAATTTAAAAATAATGAAAAAATTTTGAGAGATTGAATTTTCTTATTAAATCTTGTACAGTATTGGGTTTTCTTTTTTAAGAAAAATATCAAATATCTTAGCAATTAAATCATAAATTAAAATCTTATTAAAATATAAACTGTATTTTAATAAAATTACATGATAGCATTGATATAAACTGATGTAAAATATTTATATTTCATGTAAAATACTGATTACTAAATACATAAAAAAAACTACAATTATTTATCGAATTTCAAAATATCGATTTATTATATTATAAATAATAGAAATAATTTTAAGATATAATTCGTACATATATTTTGTATAATAATATAAATATAATCTCAATTAAAAATGTGTTCCATATTTTTTTCGAAGACTATATTTAAATGTATATAAATGTATATATATCGTAAATATAGAACGTATTAAAATACGTAAATGAATAAGATTATATTACGTTAGAATTTATGAAATTACGTATAATTATGATTAAAACACAATAAAGACGTTTATTAACAAACGTTTATTGCGGACTATATTGTATTTTGTCCATGAACACTGTCTTTGGAATATATTTAATATAAAAATTGACGTTTTTTTTATAATTGTGTATATGCCTATTAAAAAAAAAACATTAATCTAAGATTATGCATAAGTTTGAACGCTTACGTGTTTTTAAGTGCTTATAATCATTTTGTCTTTATCCTTTATTAGTAGTGGTGTGCGAGATCTCGAAAAAACCCGTTTGAAACGGGACGGGAAATCCAAACATTTTCGGGAAACTCGAATATTTTCAGGAATCCCGAAATTTTCAGGATTCTGTCCCGATCTCGAAAAGTCCCGATCCGATTTTGCACACCTATTTATAGACATAAAACAAATAAAAGCGCTGAAAGCGTCCAAACCGAACGCAGAATATCTTATACATTCATTAATTGAAAGATTGTAAACTTTTTCCGATGAGTTTTAGAACACAATCTGCTCAAACCAAAAAATTGTTGACGTTCTTGTTTCCTGCGGTAAAATTGCTTCGAGGACACTTGGTTGAGAAAAATGAGATTTTCCCTGCTTTAAACGTTTTATTCGTAAATGCTTTACGTGCGGACGAATGTGCGTTATACTGAGTATTGTCAATTGATTGATTTTTACTTATGGATCTAACTATGTTCAACCACTCTATAAGCAAAACAGTTCCAAAATCCATCGAAAAAAGCTGCAACCTTTTAGTTCATGAGTGTACATAATATATATAGTAAAAAAATTTTAACAATATCAGTTTACTAGCAGATTCGACCAAAATATTACAAATTGATATCAACTGTTTATGTTTGCACTATACTAAAATAATTTTCTCTAAAAATTTACCCTGAAATTATAGTCGTGGGATAACATTGTATTTCAAAGAATTTTATGTTTGTATAAATCTCTTTCATTCACACTAATAAAACTACAATAAAATATAAAATAAGTTTGCTTAATTTTACTGAAATGCATGGTAAAAATCTTTAAAATATTATATTGTACTACATATTATTTTCAGAATAAATTTTAAGAGAAAATTCTTTCCGTGTTGGTTCATATTTTACAAGGACCATCACACACTAAAGCCCATGACATATATTAAAACGTACAATAGGAAGATGTAAACTACAAACGAATTAGCCAATCACAGTAGAGACCGTAAAGCCAGCAGCGAATTCAATGTTACGGTTTCATTACTACTTTACGTTTTTGTACGTGCGATGGATTTAAATGATATAAGCTTCATAATCATAACATAAAATCGCTGAACTAATGAATATCTTATATATCAATCAATATGGCGTTTTTATGTCGAATGCTTATCCAACGGCTTTACGTAGCTTTGTCATTTTGTGTGTTAGATTGCCCTAAAGCCCCTATTAATATCTGCAATCGTATTCTATTAACAGATTTTGGTATATATCTGTGTTGGTATTTTGTCAACAAAATTATAACGTTTTGCACTGTTTTTGATAAATTTTGCTGTTTGGATTTCTACATTTCTGTTAAGCTAACTTATAAGAATACAAGTTTCTACAAAAGCGCATGTATCAAATATTAATAGATATTGATAAACAATTCATATTATAGAACATCTTTCAGTTGTTACTTAACTGCTAAAGTGTCGGAGACTGGAAAACAATCGGACGGATTCGTTTTTGGACGGGTTATATAACTATCAAATAATTTAATGTCATTTGCATCGTTAATTTCAATCATAATTGAATAAGTAAAAAAAATAAACACACATGTGTTCTCATCTTCAATACCGCTTTATCATAAAATTCCGAAAAATTTTATGTAGATATATTTTTTGAGATTCGATTAATATATTATAGATATGAAAATATAAAAGTATAAAACAAATTATTGTCTTATATGCATTTATCATTACAAAAATCGTACTTTGATTCATAATTCATTTATATGTAATATGTATGTACGAGAATCGTCTGAAGTTTTGAATTTAACATAGAAATAAGTATTTTTTTGAACAAATTCGGAATGCTCTTGTCATTTTTTGAAAAATAATGGTTACGGTCGATTAGCGTAACTCAATGTGAATGTGTTCTATTCACCACAGATACGGATACACCGACACGTTGCGCTACATAATGTATACTGTACCCTTTCTTCCAGAAGTGCAATCATTTGGGTAACTTCGGATACTGGCAAGTGTCCGCGGCATTTAAAAAATTTGCAATTGAGACTATCTTTGTTACAAACCTCAAACTTCCTAATAGTCTCTATCGAGAAAAGAGAAGTTCGCGCTAAGCGAGGATGTAAGTGACAGTTTTGCGTTAACGCGAACTTCAAGTCTTCTTTTTTCTGGATAGAGGCTATTGGGAAGTTCGCGCTTTGTAACAAAGATAGTCGCATATTGCAAATTTTTTTAACGCCGTGCAGACCACTTGCCAGTATCCGAAGTTACTCGCATAATCGCACTTCTGGAAGAAAGATACAGTATGCGTTATAAAGCAAAAGTGATCACTTTTAACGTTCAATAAAAAAGCAAATTAAAGATAAAGATTCACTCTTTCGACTGCTGCAAACAGCACTTTCGTGTAATTTTTATGAATTACTCACGCCATAGATCTTTGTAAAGTTTATGAAAAATTTTTAGAATTGACGGATATCCATTTGTGTCCGTATAACTTCATAAAGTATCAAACAAATTGAAATTCCAATTATAGATTTCGAAAGTAGAGATTTCAATCTTTAAAATACTTTTTTAATTTTTGTCTGCGATGATTTTTCACCGAGTTACGGTGTTCTGAATATTGCCCAATTTTTAACGTATTCGAAAGTGTTCCCTAGATTTTGTTGAGTAATATATATGTATATAATACATACATATATACATAAACCCCAACTAATATAAAATAAAAAATATACATACATATATATATATATATGTGTATATACAGGGAAGAAAAGTAATTAATTATTTGTAACTAACAGAGAAAAGTCCCCAACTACGTAATTCAGAAAACTGTGAAACTGTAATAATTAATACATAGAAAGTATGTAATAAATAATTTTTTTGTTGCTTAAATTCACTCTGAAAGGGTAAAATCAACCTTTGAAGATTATCTCACTTTTTTATTTTATTATTCACAAATAGAACAAAATTTTAGAGAAAAAAAATTTATGTTTTAAAACAAAATATAATAAAGAATTTAATATGATGCCTTGGGGGGGAGTCAACACTGGTTATAAATGTGTGTATACAGTTCAATATTTTTATAGCGAATTCAATTGGACGCGCTAATACGCACTTCTGCATATTAAAATAGTTGTATATACATAGATTTAATCTGAATGTAAAAGTAATATTTATGTTAACAAATGCAAATATTTTAAAGTATTTATATATTATATAAAATACATATTTTATTATCGATGAGATACTATTAAAGACCGACATGCTTACGGAAGTTAGCGTTCCCGTTAAAATTAAAGTGATTAAGACCCAATTCTACAATTTATTATTGCTTTAAAACAGTACTTAAGACGATTTTGAAATAAGAACCGACTATAAATACCGACCTTTAATCGAGGTTCAACATATATTTCTCATCTCTTTTCAATTCTTAGAATTGAAAGAGTTAACTGTGAATTGTAAAACGGCCTATAAGAAATTAATAATTTAGTACAATACTAACTTTATGATTTATTAATTTCATAAACATGTATTTAAAACTTTATAACAATTAATTTTATCTAAAATTATGATTTTAATATTATCATTCGAGTTCTATTATCAATAGAGATGATAACTGTAGAGAAAAAAAATTGTTGCGACAATATACATACAAGACACTATAGAATTACAAGTGCATACATTTATGGGTATTTATATAATAAAGAATCATGAATTTAATTATGTATTAGTTTGCAAATATTTATGTTAATAAAATCGTAAATTTATATCAATTGTCGATAATGTCAGTGTTCTTCAATTACCTCCAGGATTTCGGAACTCTTTTTTTTTTTTTGTAAAAACGAAAATTTGTCCAGGGTTGATGATCTTTAATAGTAGTAGGGAGTTTTTACAATACCGTTTACCCCAGTGAATACGGTGAATGCTAAAGTCACGTTATCCTTTTCTTAATTAGATGTGAAGAAAAAGATAACGTGACTTTAGCATTCACTGTATCTGGAATAAACGGTATTGTAAAAACTCCCTATTATCTCGCCGGTGACTTTACCTAACAGCACAATAAGTAATACCGAGCAATTGATACGCGTGTCAGAGGTAAATTTGAGAGAGGACCTTTTATGGCGAATTCGACAGACTGCATTAGTGCGCACTGAGTACGAACTTTTTTGGAGCCATGCATTCGAATTGCGCGCACCGTATCAGTG